TTTTTTCCAGATTTTCTCGGCAACCAAGTAGATTGATTTGTGGAAAATTTGAATAGATGTTTTCTTGGCAACCAAGTAGATTCTTTGTTGTTGTTAGCAAATAATTTATTATTATTTTTTTTGTTGAATGACATGTTTATATATATATATATATATATGAGTGTATGTATAAGAGCTTCATACAAATAGGCAGTATTTTGAACAGATAAAATTATACAACCTCTCTCTCTATCTCATTTGTCTATGTATGAGAATTTAAACATATAAAGATAAAAAAAATTGAACAGATAAATTTTTTGAATAGATAATTTTTATTTTTATTTTGAACAAATAATTCCAACATATAGAAAATAAGTTTGTGAAATTTCAGTCGATAATTCGAACAGATAAAAAAAGTTGTGTGAAATCTTCAAAGAATTAAGAACAGATAGGATGAAATCTTCAAAGCACTGGAACAGATAGAATTTTATTTGGACAAAATATTTAAATAGATGAAGAAAATTTGAATTGAAAAGATTAAAAAATCAAACATATTGGGTAAAAAATTGAACAGATAAGGAAAAATTTTGAACAAATAGAAAAAAGTTTGAATAGAAAGTCAACGAAAGTCAACGGATAAAAAAGTCAACAGATAAATTAAAGGATAAAATTGAAAATAAAATATCTTTCAAAATAAATAAAAGCACTTCTCACCAAACTATTTCATAAATGGTAGACTTATCACTAACAATAAAATTCCACTAGATCTAATATGTTACAATCTCTTTAGATTGAATTTATCTCTAATTTACTCAATTATATAAAATGTTAGATAAATTATACTAACTACCTTTTAGATAAAATCATAAATACACTACATCTCATTCACACGCACATTTAGCTTGGTTGAAAATAACTACAACGACTTTATATGTATGTAGTGTTCAAAGAAAACCTTAAGGCCATGTTTGTTTGGGCGGACTGGATTAGCATTCCTATGACTAATAGTCTTAGGACTGCCAATCCGTTGGATTATGTATCCTATCTTAACTAATAGTCAAGTTTAAAATAATTAATCCGTACTTCAATTGTTTAACCAAACATCGGATTAATAATTTTATTGGACTATTAGTCCAATCCCAAGCTCATGTCCACCCAAACAAACATGACCTAAGTTTCAACCTCCTTACTAGGAATTTTTTTAAAAAATATTCCAAAAAAAAAAAAAACTAATTAGAGAATTGACCAACTTTTCAAACTATTTAAGAAATTAATCTACTTTTTCAAATTGCATTTTCAAAATGCGATTTTGAAATTGAAATTGCATCTTGAACATGCAATTTCACCTTAAAATCGCAAGTTGAAAATGATGACATGGTGAAATCGCATGTTGAAAATGCAATTTCAATTGAAATCGTATTTTCAACATGCGATACAATTTCAATTTCAAAATCGCATTTTCAAAATGCGATTTCAAAAGCAGGTTAGTTTCTCAAATAATTTAAAAAGCAGGTCAATTCTCTAAATAGTTTCTTTTTTTGAAATATTAAAAAAAAAAAAAAAAACTCCCTTACTAGAGTAGTAAACTTAGGCAAGTTCTACTCAAGCAACTCGAGTCAAGTTTGAATTTTTTAAAAAATTGGGTAACATAAATTTTAATTCAATGAGGACATATGTAAAATTCAAAAATTCAAATAAATTTCAATGGACTTGGTATAGATACCAAATAGCCTAAATAATCAAAACAAAATTGTATATAAATGTATAAAATTATTTGCTAATTTATTTTTTTAATAATAAATAGGATTAATTAAAATTTTAATATTAATGAACAAAAACAATCCAATAGAATTTTTTTTATTATGTTTAAAAAATACATCTTTTAAAAAGGGATCATCGAATAAGTTAATATTAAAAGAATTACATTTTATAATGGCATAAAATAATTTAAATATAATTTTTTAGAAATTATTTTTAATTTAAAAATTACAATAAAATATTTAAATATTATAAAATTAAATTTCTTAAAAATCAAAAAAAAAAAAAAGGATAAAAATTTAGAATGGTATTCTCATTTGATATGAAAATAATTTTAGATGACTAATAAATTATCACCTATAACCCTCTTTTTTTTAATAAAAAGGGATATTTCACGAACCATCACTTTTAATAAAAAAAAATAATATTTATTTCTATTTATTTTAGCAAAAGCCACTTTTTAACAATTTGAGCCCCCAAAAAAAAATTTATTTTTTTATTTTAGTTTGTTTAATTGATAATTGAGATTAAAAAAAAATTAACAAGATCCTCCATGTTTCGCAAGTGCTAAAAAGGTCTAAATGAAAAATAAGAAAAATATTTGAGACTCACAAAAAAACACCCACTATTGTACCTACAATGATGTGGTATCATATATATCAACTCTAACATGGTGCCCAACTCCTTTACCATATCATTGTAGGTGAAGGTAGGGGTATGTGGCATTGCTGGAATAATAAATTATCACATATAACTTCCATTTTTTTTAGGGAGCTTCTATTTCCACTTCACTTTACATTAATACCTTTTTACATAAAATACACCCACTAAAAAAATCAAAATTTCAAGAGTATTAATGTAACTATGTATAATAAGGATAAATAATGGAGAATATCTGGAGTAAAGTAGAGAGAGAATAATAGCTATCTTTTTTTATTATATAAAAAAAATAGGTTTCACCCCCATCACATTAATAGAAAAATAATATTTATTTCCATTTGATCTTAGCAAAAGTCACTTATTAACTATTTAAGCCCAAAAAAAAAATTTATTTTTCATTTTAATTTGTTTAATTGACAATTGAGATTAAAAAAAAAAATTAACAGAATCCACTATATTTGGAAAATGTAAAAAAAGCCATTCATTTGCTTAATATTTTTTTCTTTTGTTAAAAAAATATTTTTATTAAAAAGTTTATTTTTCAGGTCCTTCTAATTGAGACAGATATAAAAATTTCTAAAATTTAAAACCAAAAGTGACAAAAATAAATTTTTAATAGTGATTAATAATTTAAACACGTGTATTTAATAACATATTAGGTTTAGACCAATAATATTATGACACATCATTATAATACGTGTGAATATTAATCTCATTCTAATGGTGCTAACATAATTTAAATTTAAATTTAAATTTTTATTTTATAATTTAATAAATGATACATAAATTAAGGAATAAATATTGATCTTATTCCAATTATGATAACATAATTTAAGGAAAAATCTAAATTTAAAATTTTATTTTTAAAATATAAAATTAATTTATAAACAAATCATATTGTGACACATATTAACATAAATTAAATAAAATCAAAAATAAGATGCCAACGTTTTATAATTATAGAAGTATATAGATAGATAGACTCCTTTTTATGGAATATTGTTTTGTTGAAACAGAATTGAGGAGTGATCTGCAGAATTCAAGCACAATGGATTGGTCTTCATGGGCAAAAGTTGATTGGTCTAAAATAATAAAATCTAGAAACATAAAATAAAATTTAAAAAAAAAAATTGGAAATTGGCCATTAGGAAATCTAAACAATCCCCCCATATGGGAACTCCTATTCTCTCTCTTATGGGATGGAGTCTCTAAAATGATCTACAAGATTCTGTTAATAGAAACAATCTTCCAAGATTTCGTTTCTCTTTCTACTTCTCAAAACAGTCGTAACTCTTCAATCTCTTCATTTTGTTTTCAAATCTCTCTCTCTCTCACTCTCACTCATGAAGTTCACACTTTTCTTTTCTTTTCTTGGGCTATGCATGGACCGGACTAATTTGCTTTGCTCGAAAGTAAACTGGTAAATACTTAATGGTGTACCACATGTTTCTTATTACTTTATACTCCAATCCATATATTTTTAATCCAATATTTTTGCTTTTGTTTTCTTATTTCATTAGTACCATGCATATTGTTGATTTTACATCATTTTATTCAAAACTAATTTAACTATTGTTGATTTCAAATGAACAAGAATGATTGAGGACTGTGTAAGATCAACACTTTTCATTAACCTATAATCTCACATTCAAATTGGCTGCAATATGTAGATATCAAAACACAAAATTTCAGCGTCTTCAAAAACCAAAACCAGTGAAGAAGCCCTATGAAGCTCTGCTCAAGCATCATCATTCTAAGGCCTCTATGTTTTCTCATCCTCCTTGTAATCTCTCTCTCTCTCTCTCTCTCTCTCTCTCTGTGTGTTTGTTTGGGCAAATTACACTGATAGGTGTTATACTTTTTCTCGTGTCATTTTGGTTCTAATTTTAGTTGGATTGATTTTGCCATAAGTTTAGGATTATGTCTCAATTTAGTTCAATTAATTATGTTATTTAGCATTTTTAAATTAGTTCAATTTATTATGTTATTTAGCATTTTTAATGGAAAATACACATATGAGCAGCATGTGTTTTGTTTTTAGGGATGAAGTGCTAAACTTGATTAACTCAATGAGTTAACCTCATATTTCTTTTTCTTTTTTTTTTTTTTGGATCGGCAAATGTTAGTCGTTAGTTTTTAGATTAGTACTTATGGGAGAAAATCTCTCCACCCTTGGCAAAGCACTAAGTGCTTGCACACCCTTAATTCAACCCGCCTAAGGAAAATTGAACCCATGACCTCCTTGGAACTAAGCCCTAAGGAAGACATGGTGGCCAACTAGGTTAGGCTTAGTTGGTTATCTCAACTAACTTAATAACCATATTCTATAAGAAAATGTTATCAATTATACTAAATTGACACAAAATTCAAAATTAAAAATCAACCTAATTGAAAGTGTAAAGACTGAAATGACACAGAGAACAAAATGTAAGAACTACTGCTAAGTGTAATTTGCCCTTACAATAATGTGCAGAAATTGCAAGTGTGATAGGTACTAAAACTAGAATAAATTTTTTTTTCCTTGAAAAATTGCATGATTTGTATACTAATAGCCTCATGTATGGCAGGGATTTTCAAGTTTCTTGATCTCAAAATTGTGTTTGATGACCAAGCAAATCGAGCACCTAGTGACATTGCAATCCAATGAGCTCCGAAACAGATCCTTTTCAGAAATTGAAACCACTGCGAGGTTGCTACTTCCATTGAATTCATCAGCATCAAATTTAGCAAGAGCTCTAAGTTCATCTCTTAATCGAACTGAACTATCTTTCCAAGCCATTCAAACTAAGGCAAGTATTATAAATTTGTTGTATGGTTTGCACATATATAAAACAGTAGAAGTTTCACAAAAAGAGGCAAGAGGTCGGTTTCACATGAGGGGCCCACCCCTTTGTTTCTCTTTTGCGAATTTTTTGTGTTCTATTTCTATGCAGATGGACTTAATAAATTTGACTCTCAATGCATATAAATTGAAAGGATATTTTGCTTATTCTTGCTGAACTTGTTTACATGTTCCTCAGATTGCACCAACTTTGTTACTAGCACTTTTAACAATCCCAAATTTATCACAAGTTTCGTATATCGGATTAGATGGACTAATGTTCTCATTCTACAATGATGTGGATCAAACACTTGCGGTGTTTTCCAACGCTTCATTTTCATCAACATGGTTCACTCAGCCAGTTAACCCTGACACTGGGACGCTATACGGAGAAGCAAATAGTTCAAAGTCTTTGCTGAAATCGAATTCAAGGTTGTTTCAAAGAGCCTTGAATAGAAAAACCGCGTATTCTTCACTAGAAACTGGGTGGAACAAAGCTCAAGATCTTCTATTCCTTAACAGTGTAGCCATAGATGGGATAGGGGTTATCTCAATTGGATTTCCAGCAAAAGTTGTTTCTGATCATTTTGCAGGTATAGACTTTCATGGTGGGACCTTATACTTGGCTACGAGTGATGGGCAAGTTCTTGTCGAAACCAAGATCCCAGACACTAAAATAGTAGTGAACAATGGCACGGTTTCTTTGCATTTGTTGAAACAGAATGGTGTCATTGAAGATCATAACCATTTGTGCAATTCTAGTGCCGGTGAAACCAACCGTTTTGATTCAGAAATCGGAGGAATGAATCACATATTCTATTGCTCAACCCTTGAAATTGCAGGAGTTCAATCGGTATGTCTTAATTTCAATGTGAAATTTATTAGTGAAGTTTAGGGAAGATGTTTGAATGCGAGATTTTCATCCAACTCGTGTTAGAATTGCTATTATTAATGAAACATGTGACGCACTATTTGTATTTTGGTCATGTACATTAGGCCTCTCTAATATAATTTTTCTCTAGTTAAATGCTAATAGGCAGAAATTAAAAACACTCCTTTCATAGTCTTAAAAATAATCGTTTTTTTTTTCTAGCTTATTTAAGCTATTTCTGTCTCTTAAGTTGTAAGCAGGAGTTACACCAAACATTTTTACATTTTACTTCATTAGGAGAATCTTAGCGCAACGCACTTAATGATGCACATAGAATCATGTTTACAATTGTAAAAATAGAAAAATCATAGAAAGGACATGATTATCGAATAGGAAACCATCTTTCTTTTTATTGGTTTTTTGATTTAATCCTAAAAAAATGCTGGTATTAATAGAAGTTAAAGCAACATTGAGTGAGTGTCCTATAAAATGGATTGACTTGCACCTCAATTTTGTACCTAAAATGTCAATGTGATGATCCAGTTAACTCTTTGTAATACATTCATTACGTAGATTCTTTTATTTATTTGTTTATTTTCAGGTATATTTACTAGCATTCCCAACCAAAGGATTGGAAAGTCTGGGCCAAGAAAACAGCAAGCTAGCACTCACACTTCTTGTGCTTATGTTTGTTATAGTAGTTACCTCTCTTTGCATTTTCATAACCTTAATCTTAAGAGCTGCAAGAAGAGAGATGTTTTTATGTGCCACGCTCATAAAACAAATGGAAGCGACACAACAAGCAGAGCGAAAGAGCATGAACAAGAGCCTTGCGTTTGATCGTGCAAGTCACGACGTGCGTGGCTCTTTGGGAGCCATAACTCAGTCGATAGATATCTGTCGTGAACAAACCACTCCTAATTCTGTGACAGATACTAAATTGCAGCAGATGCAGACTTGTGCCGAAGACCTTCTAGGTCAGTTTTCGAGCCTATCTAGTTGAGTTTTCAGAATCTGTTTTCTGTTTTCTGTTTTTTTCTTCCCTCAAAGTAGATGAGATATTTCTTAATGTAGATAGTTATTGGGATATTGAAATTCTAATCTTGATATGATAAATAAATGTACTTCAATTTGCTTAATTTGAATTGTCATAGGTGTATTGAATTCTGTTCTCGATACAAGTAAAATTGAAGCTGGTAAAATTCAACTCCAAGAAGTAGAATTCAACATGGCCCAGTTTCTTGAGGATGTCGTCGACTTGTACTATCCCATTGGCATGAAAAAAGGCGTTGACGTCATGCTTGATCCTTGCGATGGCTCCATCTTCAAACTAAATCTTGTTAGAGGAGACACGATAAGACTGAAACAAATCTTGTACAATTTGATCAGCAATGCTGTCAAGTTCACATCAAAAGGTCATGTCTCGGTTCGTGCAATGGTCAAGAAACCGAGTAGAGAAAATGTCATAATTGCTTCTAACCAGAGTGGTGTTTTGAACTGTTTGTCGAGGTTGTTTCTTAGGAGTAATGGAAGTTTTGGTGACTTGGATCGGGTTCAAATGGTTAGGGACAATCCTAACCATGTGGAGTTTGTGTTAGAGGTGGACGACACAGGGAAGGGGATTCCGAAAGAGCATCAAAAATCTGTTTTTGAAAACTTTGTGCAAGTTAAAGAACAGAAAGAGTCTGGTTTGGGACTTGGTGATAGGGCAGCTCTTGGACAGGAAGGTTGTGGTTTGGGACTTGGTATTGTTCAATCTCTGGTAAGTAAATTATGCTTATTTTTTTGTCTTTTTGTTTTTTGAAATTTCACCCCTTTAGTTTGCAAATCAAACAGTTAAAGCCACGATTGCTTTCAAAATTGCAAAAAAATACTTCTATTGTGCTAGTTAGAAAAGGCCTCCTATACAAATTTGCAGCATTGAACTGTCATAAAATTTAGTTCACCTTATGCTCCGTATGTTTGAAAATGTTTTCCACATTTTTCTATTTGGTACAACGGAAAAGGAACTCAACAGAAAATGTTTTTTGTCGTCAATGGAAAACAAACCTAATTTCTTTTAAAATGTGAAAATGTTTCCTGAATTACAATCTTACCAATGCTACTGCACTACCACCACCTTCACCTTCACCTTCACCACACCATCACCATCACCCATTCCTGCTGCCACCACGTCCACTTCTGTCGACGCCATCACCACCACCACCAATACAACCATTACAACATTAGTTTCAAAGACACAACCAAACATAGAAAAATATTTTTTTTGCAAAAAATATTTCCTAGTAAAAGCTTTTCGTGGAGAATATTTTCCTTTGTAAAATGTCTTTTGCCAAAACAAATGAAACCATATAAATAGTCTCTCTACATGCAGAATTAAGACTGCATACATCTGATCTTTTCTAAATTGTGCAGTGACAGGAGTCTTGTGCACTGGAACTGCCTCATAAATTGATATCTAAGTTTTTATTACTTTGATATACATGTTCTGATTCAAGATAAAACTTAAATCCAGGTGCGACTAATGGGGGGAGAGATCAAAATTGTTGACAAAGACCCCGGTGAAAGAGGCACTTGCTTCAGCTTCAACATTTTTCTCACTACAAGTCATTCTCTATCCACTGACAATGAAAAACCAGAAGACAATCTTACCCTAAACAGTGAAATTTCTCTAACTGATTCTCACCAGCACTTTGGGCTCCATCGTCGGTCCCCTTCCCCGAGATCAGAGGGGTCCCACATCGTGCTCCTAATCGCAGGAGAAGAACGGAGGAAAGTCTCAAAGAAAGTGATTGAGAATTTAGGCCTAAAAGTATCGGTTGCCAAGCAAGCAAAGGACCTTTTCCATATCCTTAAAAAGGTAAAACACAGATTGGACCTTTCTCAGTACAGTTCTTCAGAGAAAAGTGAGCTATGTATGAATGAATACTTGTCCAAATCAGAATCCGGACACTCCAATTCTAGAGGATCCAATTCTAAAAGCTCAACAAGTTTCATACTAATTGTGATTGATTCAAGTGCGGGAAATTTCTATGAACTATGTTCAATTGTGGGAAATTTCAAGAAAGACATCCCAAATCCCCGGTGTAAGGTTGTTTGGTTAGAAAACCCGGTAATGCTTTCTAGAGGCCACGAAGAGCATGGGTCAGCTCCTCCGTGGGATCACATTCTGTCGAAACCATTTCATGGATCACGTTTGTATCGAGTTTTAGGACTATTGCCTGAATTTGGAGGTATGTTTCAATGCAATTCACACAGATTCAGAATTGAAACAGATCCAAAAGTGGAAAATACTAGGAATGAGATTGGAGAGCACTCTCTGAAACAGATTGTGATAGAGAAAGATGGTGAGAAAAGAAGTGAGAGGCCTTTGAATGGGAAGAAAGTTTTGGTGGTTGATAATTTGAAGCTATTGAGAATGGTGGTTGCTGCTGAAATTCGAAAACTCGGAGCGAATGTTGATGTTTGTGAGAATGGGAAAGAGGCTTTTGATAGAGTTTGCAAAGTTCTTGGTGATCAAAGGAGGGAAGAAGGAGATTCTCAGGCTCTTCCCTACGATTACATTTTCATGGATTGCGAGGTAATTCAATGAACTCTCATCTTGAATCTTTATTTTTTATTTCTTTAGTTTTTGGTAAAAGTTTTATATATGAAGGGAATGAAATCCTTTGCATAAGATGGTTCAGGATACATATTAGTTCATAGCCAATTCATGAGCTGGTTCACAACCGACACGGAGCTGTTATAAAGCTCTTTTTCAATGCTGAGAATTTTAACAAATTCACGATCGCATCACCTTATGCATATCAATTGATACTCCCGATATTACTACACCGTGATTGATATTGATTCATCTCCTTATAGCGCTATCAAAGATCTTGCTCATGACTCCTTGACACTGAGTTGTATGACCTTGGTAGGGCATTTATAACTTGATCTAGTTTGTTTAATCTTAATAAAGTTGCCTAAATCTTCCAAATGTTTGCCTAAGAATTATTTAAAAAATCCAAAACCATGCAAATTTTCACTATGCATGGAGATAATTCAATCACATATACATGTACAAGCTATTTCATTTCTGTATTCTAAGAAGAGCACCACTTTCTAGACCGAATTTCGGTCAAAAGGTAATTGCATTTTCTTGGTTAATGATGGCCCCACTTTATCACAATCCAATGAAAATGTAAAACGTCAGTCACTTTTCGCCAAAAACTCAGCATATTAATGATTTTCCTTGTAATAAAGTACCTACATTCTAAGAAGAGGACTACTTTTTTGACTGAATTTCAATACAGAACCAACTGAGGTTGCAGCATTTCATTGGAAAATTCACTATGCCACACCTCAATAAGAAGTCTACTCAGGCCTCGTTTGGGAACCCTCCCTTTTAGCTAAAAAGTCAAAAAGTTACTAAATTAGTCAAAAAGCCAATAACCCATACCAAAAAGTCAAAGATTCTCTTTTCTCTCTCTATTTTTTGCATATCTTTTCGTAAAAAGCTAAAAAGTCATCCCAAACATACTAATTTTTTTTAGCTCATATTTTAGCCAAATATCCAAAAAGTTACTAAATTAACCTATTCCCAAACGAGGCCTCAATCACAACAGAATTAGACAAAGTATATGAACAAATAAAAACTTTTAGAAATGAGTCCCAGTAACACATTCCATAAAATCTTATTTATTCATCTATTGTACGTTTCATTCTTTGTTTAATTTTCTATGTTAATAGTAGAACTGATCACTTTCGGCCAGCAACTAAGCCTATCAATGATTTTCCATCTAAGAATGTACTTTTCATGTATTTTTGTTGAATAGATGCCAATAATGAATGGATATGAAGCAACAAAGCTTATTAGGAAGGAAGAGAAACACTATGGAATCCACATTCCAATCATAGCATTGACAGCCCATTCAATGGATGAAGAAGCAAGCAACACAATCATCCATGCTGGGATGGACTTCCATTTAACAAAGCCATTACAAGTAGACAAGTTGTTGGATGTCATTCAATCTATTGACAAATATGTACAAGATTGAGAAATTTCTCAAAACTTTGTTGTTTCATGGAGAAACTACTTGGTACAATTCAATTTTGAACATTTCACATTGTTGTCACTCTGAAATTATTTTCATATCATCGCATCTTTTTGTCCTTGATTTGATTTTGTATTTCATATTTCTCTATAAACTTGAATCTCAAACCTCTTTGTGAAAATCTAAAAATACAATTATTTGAATACAAGTGTGTGCACCATTGATTTTTCTTCAATCTCTTCATAGTATTGTGCCTCCATGATTATTTTATCACTCTAACTATATTTCACTATTGAAAATAATTTACAAATTGAATTTTTGTACCCAATTTTTTTTTTTAAAAAAAATGTTGTGATAGTGTTCTTTTTGAAATTATGAACCAAACTAGTAAATGTTCTGATTTGCAATGAAAGAATATCATTCTATATAAAAACTTTTATGCAAACATATCTTGTTTGGTTTGGTTTGGTTTATAAAAATTGTTTTTCAGTTCTTTTGCTTGTAGTGAATTATAGTGGAAAATAAATCCAAAAAAATTATAAATATGTAAAAATTGAGTCTTATCTAATAAAATTAAAAATTGTTGGGGGTATCTTTTTCTATTAAAAAACTATATGAAGGAGCTTTTTCATAAAATTTTTATTATAAAAAATGGAGGTGACATTGTGCAAAAGTAAATGAAAATTATTCCATCTCTCCTTTTTTTTTCCACAAGATAAGAACATATATGCACTAAACCTTAACTTATACAATTGTCAAATCAGGGTTTAACTTATACAGTTGTCATTGTCAAACCAGGTTGGTTCAACATCTCCAACTTAAGAAACTTTCTGCACCTAAAGAGACTTGAAAAGTTATGTTAAATTTTTTTAATTTGTTTAGTTTAACTTCTAATTATAATTTATTTAAAAATAGTAATTTTTAAAAGTTAAATGATGAATGTTGAAAGTTTCCTATCTCAAATGAAGAAAGTGGAAAGGGAAAACCCTAGGCAGGGCCGGCCTTGGGCTAAGGCTGGTGAGGCCTGTGCCTAGGGCCAAAAATTAAGCCCAAAAAAAGGGCTCCAAATTTAGTCTTATACTATATTAAAAACTTAAAATGGCCTAATTTTATTTAATTAATTTAGGCCATTTTAAAGGGGGCTTCAAAAAATCTATTTGGCCCAATTGATAAAAGGCCCAATTAAAAAATATTTATAAGTTTTAGTAATTGTATTTCATGACATTAAATGAAACGTGGCAACATTGTACTCTAAATTCATGAAATCAACCAACTAAGACACTTTAGAAGTTTAGAATATGAAAATCTAACTTAACTCAAAAATTAATTTAGACTATCATAAACTAAACTGTATTTCATGGATTTAAATAAAAACATTTTAAGTCATGCTACCATGCCATAAACTCATGAAATTAAAAGATTAACTTGAAATAAACCCTAGCATGTTGTTCTAAAAGAAAATGAGGCAACCCCTACCAGTTGAAGCTTCAAACCAATGAAAAATGAAGAGAAGAGGTAGAAATGGACTGTAAGCCTCAAGAACACCAAGTTCTTCGACAAAAGTCGTCAATCCAAACCAAAACTGCACTTTTAAATTCACGAATCTCTCTAAAAATCAAGGTATGAAGCTCACCAACACTAAACTTCACTCTTGATCCAACATTAAGGATCAACAAGGCTTTTAGTGAGAGAAATCTAGAGAGAGGATGAGAAAAGCAAAAAGGGAGAGAGAGAGAGATTTGGTTTAGAGAGAGGAGAGAAAATGAAATGTTTTTTCATGATTAATTTTAAATAGGTGGATTTGATCAAAGCCCTTTCATAATAAAACTTCAATGCATTAAGGACAAATACAAAAGAATTTTCTTGAAAAGTTCAGCACATACCACTATTATCAAATTATCCTTAATGACTAATTTAATATTTTAAACTTTAAAATGATATAATTTTTTATTTAAATATCAATTTTTAATAAAATTAGTATTTTTAGAATTCTCTCATCAAGATTTATCAATCAAAATTCATATTGACTATGAAAAAAAGAACCGTTGATATTGATGTAAACAGTAACATGTTACTCTTTTCACAATAAAATATTACTCTAGTTGACAATAACCAGGGCATCAAAAAAAAAAAAAAACCTATGATGAGGAAGGAATACTCAATAGTGACATAAACCAATGCCTGCCTAGTTATTAAAAAAAGAAAGCACAAGACTCCTTGAGTGATAACCTTTGGCATAACTACCTTATTTATTTGAGATGTAGAGTCATATGGGTTGGTGTAATCGAACTCCAAATTAGCCAAGCATATGAGCTGGTAAATAACAGTAACGATGAGAGCACAGCAATAACGATGAAGACTATGAAGAAGAAGAACAATAGTCATGCGAAATAGATCATTTATGCTTTGTCTTTAACTTTCTTTAATTTGTCTCTCAACATATACTAGAACACAATAAAAATTCAAAAATTGAAAATGAAGAAATGGTATAGGAACTGCCGAATTGGAACGTTGTAAGTAGGAATGAAACAGTAGAAAAATGGCGGATTGTGAATCAAAGCTCGATGAGGGAAAACGGAAAGGCTTTTTGGTTCTGTGATTTTACAGATCAAGTGGAATCTATACTATATATATATATCAAGCGTTAGATCATCTATAAAAAATTAGAAATACTTTTTTTGTCCTTCCAAGAGATTGTTTGGGGTGTCCTAAATAAGTGTACTTTTTGACTTTTTAAACTAAAAAATTGAGGGAAAAAATATGATTGTTTGAGTTAATTTTTTGACTTTTTTATGAAAAAATGTGTATTAAAATATTGTATAAATTAGTGTGTAGTTAGAGTGTAGGAGAAGATTAGAGGGTGACTTGTACGGCTGTCATGTCTGCAAAGGTGGAATAGATGGTAAGAAGTAATTGTTTACTTTCTGGACATAGCACTGGACGGTGCTATTCAGCTCGTGGGGGCCATTATGGGTCCCGTTTTGATAATTTGAACCGTTCAATATGTAGAACTCGTCGAGTACTATATGCCTGTAAAAAATTACATTAATTGGATATCGATAGCTATCTAATCAGATTTATTTTTTTTCCAACTGTTAATTATAACATCTTTATTTTTTTATACGAAACTGATTTGATCATGTAGTTATCGATATCCGATCAATGTGATTTTTTACAGGCATATATTATTTGACGAGTTCTACACATTAGCGGTTCAAATTATCAAAATTGGACCCGTGATGGGTCTCCACGGACCGAACAGCAGTGTGGTAAAATTGCATCCAACTGTGCAACTTTTTGTCACACAACCGCAGCACAGATCTGATTTCATCAGATTGATGTGTTGGTGAATAGTGACAAAATTAATTTTTTAATATTTTTTTTGATGAATAGCGATAACTTTTTAACTTTTTTGTAATATGTCAAACTTGACCTAAAAATAAACGGGACTGTTTGAGGGGTTTAGAAGATTAAAAAAAAGTAAAAAAATAAAAAAGATTGTCCTTTTCACATTAAAATGTTGGTCCTAAGGAGTTTTGGCCAATTTTCCTTGGATATAGACTTCTCTCTCACGGTTGGGAAATTACATTGACCCCTGTCAGTGTAATTATTTTGACGAAGCTAACATTGGGATGAAAAGGACATGCTTTCCCCTAAGCCTTTATATGTAGAAACTAATTATAAAAAATAAAAAATAAAAAATAAAAAAATTAGATATTTTGTTCATGTTATTTTTAGAGAAAATGACAATCGCTCTGTTTAGTTTTGAGTTTTAAAAAATAGTTTGTTGAGTTTTAATTTTTTAATGATTTTTTAAAATATTTTTATCAATTTTTTTTAAAAAAAATTTAGATCCACTTAATCTTAATATACTTAAAAAGTAAAAAAAAAAAACAATACAAATTTTTTTAAAAATTCATTAAATACAGCAAAATATGAAAATACATTGAATTTTTGTATTTGGTAAATCTTTAAAAAAAAAACAATTCACAAATATTATACTTTTTAAACATATTTAAATTAGGTGTATCTTAAAAATTAAAAATTTATGTAAAATATTAAAAAAATTCACTACAAAAACACAAAACAAAAATAAAAAATTTTATTTTCTAGAACCAAACATGATGAATAATACCCTTTCATGTTTTTTACCTACCCCACGCCATATTTGGCTAGTAAATAAATTGCGAATGCAAGTGAAATGGTGTAATATCTATTGTGATTGGACCTTTATTTTTGGTATATTAATAATTTTAAATAGGGTACAAAGGACTTTTTAAGGCCACAAGGGGCAAATTAGTCACTTACACTTTCTTTTTGCTTTTGTTATCAATATTCTTCTAATAAGTTTAACATTCACAATAAGGGTTATTTCAATAAAGTTTATGAAATACGGCTATTAACTACAACAGTGAAAATATATAATTTCCAAACTATTAGGCGTAGAAATATAAATAGGCCAAATTGCAGGGGTGTCAGTCTAATTTATTCAAAATAAAATATGCAAAAAATGTCATAAAAGAGTGGGCCCAAGTGAATCACACATTAGGTGACTTCCAAACACTTGCTTGCACCCGCGAAAGATCCAAAGTCTAGGGACCCATCAAGATCAAGATACCAATTAATCTAGGCATATGCTCCCAAGGACACCACTAAAAGAAACAAAAAAAAGGGAAAATAGCAAACAAGTGGAATAGTGAAAAAAAATTACGTTATAAATAAAAAAAATTTGTGGTGCAGATAAAATTATCCCATGCACGGGAATGATTTCACTATGTGTATAAAAAACTTATACCACTATGAAAATAAAAATATGTTTTGACTGCACCACTGAAATACAAATTCTCAAAACAAACACATTAATCACATAAAAACCATAACAGAACCACTTTTAGAAAGGAAAAAAAATGCAAATAAAAATACTTCTAATCAAAGTTCATAAAGACATGGAATGGACTATACAGGGAACCAACCAAAACTATAGACTGCTTAAGCTGTTGCAAATGCAACATTATATAGCTTGAAATTCCCAAGTCCAGGTTTTAGGTTTTAAGTATCTGTATCGAATAAAAATTGAAGTTGAATAAAAATGAAAATGAAAGTTGCGTAAAATTAAAAACGAAAGTTCATTCAAGAAACCACTATTCCTTAACGATCTATTTGGAAATTAAATAAAAAAAGGAAA